AAGGAGAGAGGGACCACTATTACAGGTTGGTTCTTATTCAAGTTCCTAGGAACTGCCCCTAGCGCCTTGCTTCTCTCCATGCATATTTTAAATATTTTGTGGAAATTTTTAGAAAAATATACTATTGAAACCATATCCTCTCTTTTCTATCCCTTTCTTTCAACGTCACCTACTCTATATCCCTCTCTTTCAAGGTCTTTTACTTTATTTTTGTTCTAACAATAAAGTCTTTTCTTATTCTTGTAACACATGTCTTCCTCTTAATTTTATTTTAATAATAAAAATGTATATTATATTAAACTTTTATATGCACAATGAAAATTACATTATAATTTTTTTTAAAAATGTTAATTACATAACTTTGGAAACCTGTAAAACCTACTGCTGTGCCGTAGATATCTATCTAAAATATAATGTGGGGGGCACCCATGGTTCGAAATTTCGACCATTTATCTGAAAATTGCAAAAATATGATAAATAACATAAGCAATGGTCTTTGGTACAACAATGGCTAGTTGCACAGCGGTGCCTGCTGCTACTGTCCATTTGCATAACCATCGTTTGAAGAGTACAAAATCGATTTTATTTTTTGAATTGATCATCAAAACATATTTTTACAAGATTTCAAATTTCGGTCAACTCTTGGCAGGCCCCATCCATGAGTAGTTTCCCCTCGTAACAATACCTTGCCATGCAGTGACTAACCCAAGCCAGTGTGTTCATAGTAGTTCAATGATATCGACCCTTTTAGTAACCACACTTGCCCGTACATATTGAAGTGTTTAGAAGCTCAAAATTAGTATTTTCTTTCAATTGAAATACTCAATGATTCTAAAATGGCTCCCACAGTTCTATATTGAAAAAAATTCTCCTAATTATCAGATTCCTTTCATGTATTCTTGAAATCTTATATCATGATGCATGCATGCATCACACAGTAGCATGAGCATCTCGTATCGACCGTGGTGGTTTCCAATCCTTTTGACACCGCCTTCAAAACAGCTAACTCCCAAATCAATACAAAAGAACGGGTAAGAAGCTATTTTCCCCACTGAATTACCCAAAAAAAAGAAAGAACTCGTATCAACCCTCGTTGGTAACCCTCGTCGGTAACCCGATGGCCGAGGGCATCATGCAGCACTTTCTCTGCGCCTCATGCCATTAACATATTCTCATTTTCCCTTGTGGAAATCGTCCCACCTATAGTCTCGTATGCCCACTTGCCATTCTCACTGCCCACATTCGATCCCAAACCACCTCGCACCTCCGAGTAAGGACCAAATAGAAGATTGTCAAAATACATTTAATTCATCACCTAAAGTTCGGGTTATAAATATGTACCATAAGTAGGGGAGCTAGGGGGATGGGCCTCACCTGGCCCGAACCGGGCCCAAAATAGTGTCCATCAGGCCTGGTCTAGCCCATGGGCAGGCCCAATATAAATAAAGAAAATTTATTTATTTAATAAATACAGTATATATACATAAAAAATTTCAATCCTGAGCGACCTAGGTCCAGCATGAAAGCCCACAGGCTTGCCCAGGCAGGCTAAACAATTTAAGTGTTCCATATCCCCATTCTCTTTGAAATCGCTCTGAAAACTCGTGCATTTACTTGTGACAGCAAATAGGTCGTCTTTCGCTGTCCTGACCACAAAATCAATGTCATTGTAGATGAAGCTATTTTGGTCCAAAAATGTGTGCGTGAGAGAGAGAGAGCAAGGAGCCAAGAATTTTTTGAAGGATCGTTTAGCAACAAAAGGAAAACTCTTTTACAGATGAAGCTAGCTTACCAAAATTTTTAGGACACCATCTATGAATGCATTATCTACATGAACAGCGAAGTTAGAACAGATATGTATGCCACACAAAACCACAACCAAATATCAGCCAGTGTCGAATAGATGGCTCTAGTCACACATGCTATTGGCCTACTGCAGATTGGTGCGAAGTCACATATTACAACCATCTGATAATCCAAGTACCAGTTTAGTTTGGAGCAGACTCAGAGTCAGGAATTTCGTCATATGCACCAGATTGTCCATTGTATGAATACCTGAATAAATGAGAATTGTAAATAAAGTACTCTTTTGAGAATTAGAAGTCAGAACAATCCATGCTTTACTCTGGTTTTAAGAGTTTATCAAAGCAACCATATTTGTGCTTTTCAGTTATAAAAAGGCTGATAAACACTATTTGAGAACAAAAGTTGACGATTATGATAAATAACTTCTTTAGTTCTATGCTTTTCTATTTTTGCTTTAGCATGCAATTTAACTTCTTCTCATTTTCATAATTTTAACTATCATTTTGCATTACACAGAGTTATAAATAATACCTAGGTCTATTTTGCATTTACCAATTTTGTACAAAGCTCAGATGACTTGTGAAACAACTTCTGACAAAGGAAAGCATCATGAGCTAGTTCTCCAACTCATCGTCATCATGATCATAACATCATCATCCGAGCTTTATCCCAATTATTTGGGGTCAACTGCACAAATCCTATTATGCCATTCCGCTCTATCAAAGGCTATACCCTGAGTCAAGCCACAAGTCGCTATATCTTTTCTCACTATTTTCATCCATTTCCTTTGAGGACCTTTCCCTCGGGCCTTTAGAGTCTCCATTTTAATCAAATCACCCCTCCTAATTAGTGTCATTCAAGGTCGATGCTGCACATTACCAGACCAACAAGTCTCTAATTTCCCTCATTTTATCGCCCATTAGAGCTACTCCTAAGTCCCTAAAATGTATTTAATTTGAGTTACTATCCTTTGTTTTGCCACTTGTCCATCTCAACATCCTCATCTCAGTTACACTCATTCTATGGATATATTGTTTCTTGATCGCCCAACATTCCATTCTATAAAGCATGGCTGGTCTTATAGCCATTATCCAGAACTTCCCCTTCAGTTTTATTAGTATGCAACAATCACAAAACACTCCAAAAGCACATCTCCACTTTGTCCACCTAAATCTAATTCTATGAGCAACATCTTCCTCAATCTCTCCTTTCTCATGTATTATCAACCCAAGACAATAAAAGTAATATCTTTTACGTCATTGCGCATCAAATTTAACTAGTTCCTTGTTTCTTCTCCTATTAGTCCTAGACTTGCATTCCATATAGTCTATCTTAGTCAGACCAATTTTAAAACATTTAGATTCTAAAGTATCCATCCAAAGATATGTGTTTATTCTTACTCTAGTCTCAGCAATAACTATGTCCTCTATAAATAACAAACACCACGGGACCTCTTCCTGTAGATGTCTAGTAACTCATACATAACCAAAACAAAGATATATAAGTTTAATGCTAACCCCTGATATAGGCCTATTAACACTGAAAACTCACTTTCTCTCCACCATTTGTCCTCACATTAGTTAGCGGTCCCACATATCCCTAACCAAATATATCCTCTTAAGACTCTTTTCTTTTCCAGCACCTACCCAATATCTCTTTAGGTAACCTATAGTATGATTTTTCTAAATCAATAAAGATCATGTGGAGATCTTTTCTCTTCTCCTTAAACATCTCAATCAATTTGCTAAGCAAGAAAATACCCTCAATGATTGACCTCCCTGACATAAAATCCAAACTGATTTTCTAATACACTCGTTTCATGTTGTAGTCGTGTTGCCTTATCACTATCTACCACAGTTTCATAGTGTGGCTCATACGTTTGATCCCTCAATCGTACAACTCTTTTATGTCTCTGTTGTTTTCACCATAGCACTTTTCTTCTATTCATCTTGCATTTTCTCTGTTCTCAATAATCTTTTTGAGTAGCTTGGTCAACCGGAATATACCAATCTCTCCCACGCCCTCCCAAACCTCTATTGGTATACAATCTGGTCCTAAAGCCTTTTCCAACTTCATCTTTCTCAAAGCTTCTTTCACATTAGATATTCTAATCTGAAAAAAGTATCTATGACCTCTGACCTCATTTATGTCAATGGTTCCTCCTAATATTGAGCTCCTAAAGTGGTTGTCATTTAACAATTTTTGAAAATCAATTCTCAACCTTTCATTGACCTTGTCATCCTCACCACCACCCTTTGACCCTCATTATAGCATTTAACATTATCTAGGTCCCTGCATTTCCTCTCTCTTGACAAGTTTTTCACCTTATCTTGTCCCAATTTGTTGTATCGATCTATTTCCTTAACATTCCTCGTGCCATTTCTGTATTTTTCAAAATTCTAATCATTTTTGTTCCCTTGCCAAGCTTTGTAACATCATCATATTATGCTAATAGATTTTTAAACCTCATCATGCCACCACCAAGTTTCCTTATCTAAAAGTATTTTCCTTCTAGAATGTCCTAAAACTTTTTTTGCCAATATCTTAATAGAATCAGCAATCTCATGCCACATAACATTAACTTCGTTATCAAATTTATGTTTTCCTACTTTTATTAATTTATTCCTAAATAGGTCTATTTTCTCCCTTTTTTTTAAGCTCCACAACCTAGTTCTTAGACACCCATTAGTATCACTCCTCTTCCATCTTTCAATGCAAGCATCGATGGTCATGAGCCTATGTTGCGTGGTCCAACTCTATCCTTGCATAACCTTACAGTCTTTACACAATGATCAATGACCGCGTTGTCTTCTTAACTAGAAAAAAATCTACCTAGCTTTTATATAACCCACTTTTACAAGGCATTAAATGTTCATCTTGCTTTTCAAAGTATGTGTTTACTATTGTTAAATCGTAACCTATAGAAAAAAAAAATCAAGAACACCATCACTCATCTCATTTCTTTCCCCAAATCCATATCCTCCATGTACCTTTCATATCCTATACTATCTTTTTCTACATAACCATTTAAGTCCCTTCCTTAAAGCGTCCTCTCTCCATTTGGTATTCCTTGGACTAGCCCATTCATGTCCTCCCAAAATTGTCTTTTATTCTATAATCTAATCCTATATGTGGTGCATAAACACTAATTACATTAATTATCTCCTCTCTTAACACGAGTTTAATTAATAAGAACCTATCACCAACTATCTTAACAATTACTACTATATCTTTTAAATCTATGTCTAATATTATACCTACATAATTTCTATTATTATCCTTTCCTGTATACTAAAGTTACCCATCAATTTCTTTAGCTTTTTCCCTCCTTCGTCTCATTATATCTACTAACTCTACACTCTTGCCTAATAGAGTTCTTGCATTCCACGTGGCCAGATGAATTATATTCCCTTGGACTAGCTTTTTCTCCCGTGCACGGGTGCCCATGCCTACTTATCACCGCAACTAGGTGTAATTGTGGTGTGTCGCTTCTAAGGAACCACCTAGCTAAACCCTTGTTTCTGGGTGCCGGTACAACATGTTGCTTACAGGGATGTGGCAAAAGTTTTATGTTAGCTACCAACCTAATATAACCCTCCTCCTTTCTCATCCGGGCTTAGGCCCGACAATGAGCTAGTTCTCCAACTAGTAATTAATATATATCCACTTTTCTTGAACTGGTGCACTTTGATGTGGACCACAAGTTTGTCTCTATAGGAACTCCTTGCTGAGTTACTTTTGCAGATGAGCTCAAGATACATACATGCATCTCCACAAGGGAACAGACTGAATGCATAATATAGCTAATGAAACAAGGACTGTAATCATTTATGATTCTGAATCTTCACTAGTAAGGATTAGATAGGAAAGAGGAATACTACTACAGGAAGGTTTATCTATAATAAAATAGTGTAGCAAGGAGACAATGACAGAAAGATTGTCGACTTCAAAACACTTATTTGTAGGTGGTAGATATGACAAGACCTATGGGTTTAAGTAGTGCCTTGTACGGAAGTGTCCAGAAGTACTAAATTTTGAGCCCCCCCAATAGAAACCCCAATATGTACTAGCATGTCGGTGTCTATGTGACACTTGCTCCAAGTGACTCGGGCGATTCCTGTGCCCAACTCACCAGTTTTTATAACACTGTTTCAAACATTTAAGCTTTCACCCACCAGAAAAATGGATCTAATGGTTCTCACTAAAAGCCACATAGCCATGATCCATCTTGGTATTTCCTAGCCATAAAACTTATCTGTAATCAAGTACTCTTCATCTTTAAGTGGATAAAATCATATCACAGAGGTAAAGACCTCAAAAGGCACTTAAGAAGTAAAGAAACAATTTACCATCTTCCTGTTGCTGCACTGCAGAAGAGTTGAGATACTGGATCATAATAATAACCCAAACTGCTACTGTAATAATAACTGCAAATCGGAACAGCTTTGTATCATTTTAAGTTTAAAATGCACGAATGCAAGTAAAAGGGATATTGGAATAATGACAACAGAAAGCAAAACTAAATGCAGCTCCCACTTAATGATAGTTTTTTATCACTACAGATCATTCTTTGCGAACGTAAAAAATAGGCACTCCGACAGGAAAGTAAATTGATAGACAACCAGCAGTGAAAAGGAAAAGGAAACAATACTCAACATTGCGAAAGAACAGTAAAAAGAAGAATTTATCCAGAATAAGCCTATGAAGATATATGTTACTTATGGGTCCATGAGTGAGTTACAAGTACTATTGAGAGAATCAAATAACTGGTGTTTTGCAAGCGCCTTTACTAAACAAAATACGTATTCTAGGATTCACCAAAGGATATCACTCCAATTTGATTTGGGATTAGAGTCATAATTTTTTCTTTGATGCAGTTAACTGTTGTATTAAGTAAAAGAAAAGAATTACAGTAGTCCATCGAGAGGGCCCACAGGCCAGGCCTCTCGGCAAAAAATAGGCTAATCTGTGATCCTTTATCCATAGCAAACCCATGAACTAATTAGTGTTTCAACTAGCAAGCAATCAGTCCACATTTTATGCAGCTCTAACCTAACTATAAATAAGCTAATCAGTTACCAAAATAACAGAAAAAAAAAACTGTACAGTCACTGCAGGCTTCAACAGAAACAAATAAAGTCATGCTTCTTTACTTCAAAACAAATCAACAAGCAAAGTCAAGTTTGCTTCATGGTAACAATGATATTCAGATTCCATGGCTGGATAACCAATTGTTTCATGGAAAGACTGATTTGATTCTAGAAGATAAACTTTAGGAATATATATCCTCACTCTCAGTTCTTAAGTCTTGGAGCCTAAATGTTGTCATCTATGCAACGCCTTTGTGCATCAAAACCAAAGCAGCCATAGGCATGTTGTTAATCAACAAAAAATTGATGTGCTTATTTATCAAAAAATGAGGCAGAGCCCATCAGAAGGGCAAATTCCACAGATAACTAGAACATAGTTTTCTTTAGAAGTTATTCCATGAAGATGCAAAATTAAAAACAGCACCTCCAAGTTCTGGCAACAAGGTAAAATAGATCATTTCAAATTAATGAAAACTCGTGTAAGTCAAATGAGTAATTATACATAAGTGTTTTGGAAAACAAAAACCTGAAATAAACAAATGAAAAGAAACCAATATTTTCACTGATGAAAATAATATATTAGAGAGACCAGTGGACCCAACAGTGTGAGGTTCACAAGGTAGAGAGCAGAATAGAGAAATGGCGAACAACTTTTCGTAATTAATTGTTTATATTCATTTTTGTAATTCTTTGTCATTCACCATCACATCAGCTCTACCTATAGTAAAACAGCACGCAATGGAGATTGGCAAGAAAGTGTTATTTACAGTTAGAAATTCGGAGTTGAATCTACTGACCTACATAAACATATGCACAGCTAAAAACCAAGGGGGAAAACGAGAGTGAGTGGGAGAAAGAGAGAAGGAAAGGGAGAGAAAAAAGAAAGGGAGAGACAAAAGGGAAGAAAGGGGGGAGGGGGAGGAGAGAGGGAGGGAGGGAGGAAGAGAGAGAGAGAGATTAACATTCACCCAGGGAAGTTAATCTCCACCATTCATCACTGACAAGATGCCCAAGTGTCTACAATAAAACATATACCAAAAATGTAGTTATTGGGATACCTTCCCAAAGTATTCGACTATAAATTATTGATTGGAATCATATGTTATGGCACATGCAGCAGACAAATAGTATGTTGCACGTACCCTAAGAGATGAACTAAAATTCTCTCTCAATTGGACATCAACAGACTTGAGCAGGGAATAGTTCATATGAATGGTTCATCATTGACTATAGATGATTGAGTTTAGGGTTTTCCAATAAAAAGACCTTCTAATATAGTCTTTTTAAGAATTGGACCTCTTGAAGTGTTCTTTTTGAGTTTGCCCCTCCACTCCACACAGTACATTAGTTTGACCCTTTTATCACCTTTTTCTCTTGTTTGTTCCTAAACCCCCCCCCCCAACCCTTTCCTCTCTCTCTCGCTCTCTCTCTCTCTCACAAATCCAGTTCTTATCTCCTCTCACATTCTCAAAACCCAAGCCCATCCCCCCTTTTAACATTCTTTCCCTGAAAATCCAAATTGTGTTCTTCACTCCTTTTATAATATGCAGTTGTAATTAGAGGAAAGAGAATGAATCACATGCAATCTCCAAGAAGATGGAGGCGGCCCAACGGCCTGGGCCGCTGGGGCAGCTGCCTAATGAAGAGGAGAAAGTTGGGTGATTATATTATAAACTTTCAATTCTGCATTAAAAATTAGAAATATAGGTAAACATAGAGTAATGTTTTTAAATTGCTCTGTAAAAGCCAAACATAGCCACAAATATATTATACGTTTTCAAGTTTGCATTATAATTAGAAACAGAGCAAAACACATATTATAATCACAAAAATAGTAAACTCCTAAAAAAAAAAATAAAAAAATATAAGAAAACACTTATGAGGTTTCATCATAAAGTGTAAAGCGAAACTTCAAAATAGACACCAGAAAATGATAAAAAACATAACACAAGAGTTCCAGAGAGAAACAGAAAGTTGGGTGGATAAACAAGGTGAAAGAATGCAAAACAAAGAAACCCAAATCGCTAATTTAATATGCAGTAAAGTATAAGTCCTGCACAGAGGGTGAAAGAGATGAGCTTATGAAATGAGGGTCTGTTTTAAGAGTGCCAAAGAGAAGAGTGTGCTTGCGTCAAGCCGCTGGGGGGAACAGAGCAGGTTCGTTATGTAAGTTGAACAAAATTGAGGATTTTTTAATCTATAAAAACTCAGTTTCAGTTTTCTTAGTTTTTGGGGTCAGAGGGGAAAAGGCGGTATTCCCTACGTTCGTTCACTTCTCTGGTTTTCTAGAGAGAGAAAAGGGTCCCAGTAGTCAGAGTTGACTGAATTACACTCCTAGAATTTTCCCACCATCTAGTTTTACAACAAAATAAAACAAAGGAATCTCTCTTTACTCAAAAAAAAAAAAAAAAGAATCTCAACTTCAAAGTGCAAAAGATAAAGACCATTATCAGCCAACAGAGTGAGCCTTTTCAGGGAAAAGAAAGTAATTCACCAGGTGCGACCTTGGTCTTTTCCTAGAATTATATGCCCTCTCACACATCTAAATGGCACCTCTATCTAATGATTCATTACTAGCATCATGGTTTACAGTCAAAATCTGGAAGAATTTCATATGAAACCCTCTCTGGTTCATGCTTTCAACTTAAATAATTAAATTCAGTAGAGATAACGTGGGGTCAGTCAAATTATGGTTCAAAGACAGATCCTAATCTCGAAAGATAGCCCTTTCTGAGAACCACAGGTAGCCCCAGATTGAAATCGCACAAATCCCAAAAAATAAACCAAGAAAACAAGAAACGAAAACAAAGAAAAATAGAAGAACTGAAAATTAAACTAAAGAAAGAGGAAAAGAAACTTAGAGTTGGGACCCATATCAGAACCGCAGGTTAATTTTACACTTTTGGTGCCTTCTCTTTTTCTTAAAGAAATGGTTGAATGTGATTTCCTAAAGATGATTTCCTAGGGTTTTGAATTGGAGATATTAAAATTGTAGGTAATTATGGTTTAGATCTCCTAGGGTTTCTTTTTAGAGTTTTTCCTAATTCTAGGGTTTCAAGGGTATTACTCTAGCTTAAGGGATTTTTGGAGTATTTCCCAAGGATTTCCCTAGAATTTTTGGTTGTCTAATTCCTAAGAGTTTTCCAAGGTTTGGGTTATTTTCCTAAGATTTTTCCAGGAATTTTAGGTTATTTTCCTAAGGTTTTCTATAGAATTTAGGTTATGATTTATGAAATTAAGGCATTTATATCCCTTTTATTATTAGAATTCCTAGGTTTAGATTGGGTCAAAACTGGAGTCAAAACGTTCTAGAAAGTTCCAAAAGTTTCAAGATAAAAAATTCCTACTTTTCTGGAATTTTCCCGATTTTTCTAGAACTACAAACTAAAGGTGGCACTTAGCATCACAGAGCCCTCTGGGCCTAGCGACGTGCATCACGTCTCAAATCCTCTTTTGGTCCAATTTCATTCTAGTCTGTGTTGGATCCTCTATGATAGGTCTGATTGTTGATCCAGTGTCATTTTGACTCAGTTTAGGTTATGATTCTAATGTTTCCAAAGGGTTTTGGACTACACGCCATTGTATACTAGATTAGTGTGGTTCTATGGTTCAGAGTTAAAGATTTTTGGAATTCCCTTAGCCAAAATTTCAAGCAGGGTGTCTACCATCATGGAGGTTGATTCAAAAACTTGACACACTGTGAGATCACCATCGGAGAATTCACGTCATTGGTTCTATCATCAAATGTCCATTTTATGTACTGGTGGCAATATAAAAACCTTTAGGGCCTACATAAGAACTTTATGCAAAGATGTAGTGGTGGTGACATATAATTCTTAGCAAAAGTGCTTGCAAGGCATCTGTGGAGGAAGATCATTGTAGGCGAGGATATGATTTTCTATCAAGAATCACTAAGGAACCTGAGGGCACAATAGGTTAAGGGAGCTAGTACAAGATTAAAATAATAAAGTATGTACGAGGATTCCGTGTAGGCCAAACGCGTAAAGAAGCATGGGCACTAGGCAGTTAAGGAAAAAAATATAAATATCTTAGATGCAATAAGAGGTATCTAGAGGAAGCTGAAGTTCAGTAGAGCCATGTTCTCTGGGGGTAGACTTTGGCAAGGGATGGTACTGGGGTTCGGATGAGATAGCGTGGGCAGACGACATATGGCATGAAGACTGAAGTCCATTGGTAGTCTGATTTGCAACCCTAGCAAATGCAAATACGAACAAGGTGGACAGGGTGACACAGTGTTTGAGGGAGGTGGGTGGCTTGAAATTTAGGAGGAATCTAAAGGAAGAGAAGTTCGGTTACCTAGGGATATTGCTTCATCAAATGTACTCAAGAAGGAGATGATGGCAGATCAGGTTAAGAATCTGTATGAACAACGCGGTACTGTCGTTCACATCTTTCTACAATTCCCTTTGAACAACATATGGTTGAATCCATAGTTGATGGGATCTTCCATCTGAGGTGGTACTCCCGCTCCAGGAACATGGTTCCTTAAGATGAAACTCATTCCCAATAAGCTCCCTTCTTTTCAGAACGTATTCCCTATTTTCTCAGGAACTCTTTCTACTAAAGTTGTTGATGAAGAGGCCCATCTCTCCTTTTGACAATCTTTATTGTGGGGACTACAAAATGCTTTACAAGATATATTTTCGATTTTAAGAGGTGTCATTCTATAGAAAGAGAACCTGAGCATCAAAAAGAGCCCGAGCTTAATTGGTTAGCGCTTGATGATTTGCAACGCTACATCCTAGGCTCAATTCCTTTCAAGGGTAGGGGTCCTCTCCCCACTGACTCACCCAAAAAAAACAAACACCTTCACTTACTTTTTTTTTTGTAGCATTTATTTACTTATATATTTGTATTGGCAATCCCTATGCAAGGAGCTTATAGCAAGCAACAATCTCATATTCCCCACCATGCTCCCGCTCCAAAATTATAGTTTATCCTGCATTACCTAGTCAGGAGTGTACCAATGCCTCTAAGTGTGTTTGCATTAATGTAAGTTGTGGCATGGGACAAGATTCTCACTACAAATTATCAGCAACACCAAGGCCACCACTTATTTAATTTCTAAATGAACTCATGAAGAGTAGTTAGTAGTAGCAAGGAGGATATCAATGAAAATGTATTATTCCATCTCTTTATCATGGAGGGAATGGGCTTCCATCTAAAAGCCATGCAATCTCTAGGATCCTCAGGTAAGGCATAAGAATCCATTTGGCATGCCTGGTTCATGGGTATTTAGGACGGTTCCAATAAAGAAATAGTATTGTCTCTTGCATGTCTCCTAGTCGGTTTTAGGATGTGTTGAATCAGAGAACCATAGGATGAGAAGAGAGAAGTTGGTGGGTTGAAAACCTAATTGGGGATACCATAAATTGGGTAACAAATTATTGTTGACGGGGCTAGAGATAAAAGATAGTTCAAAAGGATTAACTACAATGGCCGCTAACATAACTGTAGGAAGTCATATGCGCTGAAGTTCAGCTTAAGGAGAGATGATGCATTCTACCTAGTTCAGGTGCTAAGTCAAATCTGATTGATGCTCAAAAGATTGATCCAAGCCCAACCAGAGTTCGTGCAACTTGTCAAAGAGAACTTGATGGAAGTGGGTGTGTTTCCTCACTGCTAAAATGGTCTCTAATATGTTTTAGGTTACAAATAAACCTAAGAAAAATAAATTCAACCCTTTCGTATAAAAAAATGACCAAAAATGCCCCTACTGAAACTATTTTCCGCATCTGGGCGCTGGGCGGCCGCCTAGACGGGTTCCTGCGCGCCTAGACAGGTGAAATGCAAGGGAGATAGTTCACGCTTGAAAATCTAGGCAAGAAAATATATTAGAGAGACATGTGGCTAACCTGGGAAAAGTGCAAGAAAAATCAGGGAAACCCCATATAGTAGAAGACAAAGAAGTGTGAACAAGACGCAAGGCAGATGTTCATGCAACGCAGCGACCAACATGTCCCACAATTGAGAAGCTACATTTTGTCCTAGTTTCCAATCATATTACCCAGGAAAAAGAGGTATCCACCAACAAACAAGTCCCTTTCTTCCTCTTGTTTTTTTTTTTTTTTTAATTGGGGAGTTACCTGCCCATATACGATTCTTTTTAATGGTGAGTTATATGCCTACATGGAAGTTTACTGCACCTATGGTCCAAGCAATTGGGTTCTCTTTTTCTTTTCGGCGCCTATGGTACAAGCAATTGGATTCTCATTTCCAGTATTGTAATCGTTGCTAAAGAATCTCTATGATTTTGTATAACTATAAGTCAAGTGTTAACATCCAGGTAAGGCAATCAATGACTGATAAAACAAAAAGTATCACTCAGTAAAATCATCTTGATTAAAAACCTGGACTCAGGCTCGGACTAGGCAGGGTTCCAAGCCCAAGTCAGCCAATGACTTAACCGAGTTGGTTGTCCAACTCGGTCAAGTCTCTGAAAAATACACAGAGGGTTTGCAACTTAGTGAGACTCGCCCAAGTTTCAAGGTTTTTATCCAGATTGGGCACCCTGCCAGGTCCAAGTGACTCCGGCAAGTCCAAGCTCGAGTCACTAACATTTTAATCACTGGTTAAAGGCAACTAATAAAGCACTCACTTGAAAATGGTGGACAAGACTCTTAACTCATTCACAATCATAAAACAGATGTACAGCAGATCTTGCAACAACAAAAGCTAAAAGACATATGCATGACACAGTCAACTAAAAGATAAATTTATATATGAAACCATGATGGCATCAAATGATTATTTGACTAGATCATTTGTTTGATATTCACACATCAAGAAATACATGTTTAAATAATCTAAACAAATAATCAACTACGGAAAAATAAAAATAAACAAGTAGGCAATACGTGTGAGCTCAAGAAAATTTGATAATAAATGTGCATACCCAGATGATTCATCATACACATAGTCTGTCTCAGGCCCTTCACCTGTAATGTAGTCACACTGAATCACCATCGAATTTACATGCAAGTACCATTAACACTGAAGAATAATTGTCAGTCAAGGACTCACCTACTTCAGAAACAGGACTACCATTTTGCTCCAAGTTATAAGACACTAAAGGGTTCTCTGTTCCAGTTAAAGATTCCCCAGGAGTGGACCCAGAAGTTGAGTTAACGTCATTTGCAGTAGGGTTTGTTCTGGCATTGGTTTCATCATCATCCCCAAACATATCGAATGTATCACCATCATCTTTGGATGCAACTTGGGTAGTAGGCATTCCCGCATCCTCAGGAGCTGAAGCTGAGACTGCAGAGCCAACTCCAAGTTCATCTCCAGTGGAAAGAATACCATCTGTCTCCAGAGCATCAACAGAACCAATTCTATCATTTGCAGACGAACCTTCCCTTGCAGAGCCCAAGCGCTCATATCCCTCTGAATCAAATGAAGGCAGAGATGAAATCTTCACGTAGCAAAGAACTCATAGAAGTTTTCCACATAAAGACCAGGATGTTAAGGATCTGTTCTCCAAGAAAACCATACAGGTCTACATATAGCACTATTGTAGTTCGAAGAACAACTAATCCTTTCCAAATAGCAACAGTAGACATCTAAAAGAGACCCTAGATAGACCAGTAATGCAAAACAGACCAGAAAGAAATGGCAGAAGAAAGAGTTATCACAAAAGAAGGAAGCCAAACAACAACCACCAAACACCATAAAAGCAATAAAGATCTCAAGTTATGTAGTTTTAAGTTTCAACACTCAGTGGAAGGACATAAGAAATGGTGCAGCTACCCACAGATCAGCTTCTGGAGTCTCCCTCAACATTTCAAAGGTATGTAGGCATTTTTAAGGTATTTTCACCAATCCCTCCCCACTCCGGATGATCAAAGGCCATTTTAACCCACAAGCTCCCAATCCACCAACACCCTCACCCCCAACACAAAAAAAACACAACAAAAAGAAAAGAAAAAGCTCCAACACACTACAGTTTCCTTCCTAGAGAGCATGGTATATTTGCCTCGCACATGCATGGCATGCAGACGCACATACACACACTCACACACATGCACACACACGAAAACAAAATCGAGCTTGCACACACATTTTGTTGCATGTGTGTGTGAATGTGCTTTTCTTTTTCTGTGTGTGCGTGCGTGTTTATCCAATTCAAGTTAATCATAGTGTAGCAAAGGCTAAAAGGGTGCTTGGCACGTTTTCCAATTTTATACATGAAAGCAGTGAACAGCATCAGTCTGTAACTATTCTTTGGCCTTTGACGATCAACAAAGTGTTAAATCATCTTAGCACACCTCTTTTAAGAAAATACTTGATGACCAATGGAAAAACATTGAGAGAATGCATGAAGACATGCAGACAATTAAAAGATCATACAAATGTTGGCTTTGACTCAACAATGTTGGGCTAGGGTCCTTTTCAAAAAGAAGTCCAGGGTCATGAGCAACTATTGAAAGACAAACTAAACATTATGGCACAAGGTCCAACAGGTTTCGCCACATGTTAGTTCCAAGGAAGTCTCACTTGCCCTCTCACTCATATAAAACGACCTGAGCATAGAGAAATTACTCATTCCCGCTAGAAGTCCAAGATTGAAGGCAAGATGTATTCTTTGAGCTCAGCACCAAAGATCATTCTTGGTTTGAAATGCTTCTCCACATTTTCTTTTCTCTTCTTTTTTGTTTTTCCTCTTTTGGATATGTCAGACTGTATCTTATATGAGTCTACATCATGTATATTTTTGCATCTTAACATGATATTAAGTGGTAATGTTTTGAAGCATTCAACAACTACACATGCTTTGGCATGCACGCAACCCACATAATTTCTGTTGCTAACAGATGCAGAAAAGCGACATATTTACAAAGAATGACAAAGAATATGTCTATACTGCAATCCAAAAGTTGAATTAATAGTTGTCACTAAGAAACTGTTCTTGTTTTATACTTATCAAAACTATAGAAGGAATATGCCCATTATAACAAAAGGAGGATCATGACAAAGATTTGATAAACAAATCAATCAGAGACGGTAACTTTTCAAGCTTTGGGATTTAAACCGCAACGAAGTCCCTTAATCTAGCAGGCTATATGAACACTCCTGCCCATTTTTGAAGCCAACATTGTAACAATGGTGCGGAACTACCATCATGGGGAAAATGTTAGATATTTATTACAATAGACAGATCAGGTTTGGTTGTTACACAGTTAGAAATTTAAAATACAATAAAGATAGAGGAAGTACTACCATTCAAGCAAGTTACAGCAATATTCTACTGCTCATTTGCAAAGCCAACATAGTAACTAGGACAGAAGTAAATAAGATAATGAAAAACAATTGCTTCAGGGTAAATATTGAGAAGTATCTAAGTCGCACACCTGCTTCCCGCTCAAATGTTTCCCGTTTGTCATGATACACATCTGCAAAAATATGACATGACAGAACTTCATTATATAAAGCAGCATTGGAAAACTCAGGTGAGTCCACTCAAACTTGCCCGAGTTACTTGAGCTTGCACCTGCGGAGCCTGGAACCACCCCCACTCAGGCAGGGGGGTGCTGCGCACCTAACAACCTGAGTTATTATAGTAACTCACACAACTTGTCAAAGACTTCCAGTTTCTAATAGACTCGTCTATCTGACTTATCAAGTCTGACAAAATTTTGAGTCTACAAGGAGCGTAAAATCGAACCCCCTTTTTGCCCATTTCTCCTAAACCATTGATTGAATCAAGCACAATTCTAACTGTAGGGTTGTTTCTGTATGATCTATCAATTCAATAGATGAGATTCGAGGGGGAAAAAATCTGATTTCTTAGACTTAAAGAGATTGAAATTTTTTAAATAGGATTTGGTCAAGTTCAAAAACTTGTGATCTCTTCACAACCTTTGGCTCAATCGTGGTTGAAATTTGTTACCTACCCCTATTTTCAAGTTCTTTATCGAGTCATAGGCTTATTTCTCACAAAAAACAACTCAAAATCACAGATCTGCAAGATTTTGAAAATTGAAACACTATTTACCTAAAAACTTGCGTCAATTTTTAAAATTGTAACATTATGTAAGCCAATAACATCGATTTGTATTACTTTCCATGTTGCATACATGTTTCTTTTCTTCATTTTTTTGCTCATCTAATTTTTTCTTACGTCAGTTTTTTAAAATTGTAATATTATGTACGCCAATAACATCGATTTGTATTACTTTCCATTTTGCATACATGTTTCTTTTCTTCTTTTTTCTTGCTCGTCTTATTTTTTCTTATTTTTTCCATTTTCTCAAAAATTTTCAGGGCAACTCACCGAACTAGGAAAACTCTGCAATTGCACTCAAGACTCGCCAAGCTGACTCTCTCCAGGCCCATGAAGAGTTATAAAACGAGTCCTAGTTTGCTAATATTGATATAGGCAATCAAAACCATTTTGCACTGCTGTTACAAAACTTAAAAGATAAAAGACATGCACTAAGCATAAAAACCACAGAATATGTAGAATAAATTATGCAGGAAAGGTAAAAATGGCTTATCTGTTAACTATAATAAACATTTTGAAAGAGAAAACTCAAACTTCAATGTAGAATAATGGTATATCAGCTTCCTGTGAAGTCCACCTGAAGTATTTTCTAACTATTTTTTTTTTTGGATACCTAAGATTCTTCTAATGTTATAGTCCTTGGTATACACTTAACTGTAATCACCGTTGTCCATCAGCTTAACAGAATCCTCTGTGAGTTGGTCAAAAACAGCTTTTACGTCTGCTGACATTTTTCCACGCTTGGTTGTAGTATCTGAAGTCCCTTTCAACCTTCTTAAAGCTTGCAAGACCTGTCATTAAAAATGAGTGAAGACTTGATTCGTACATAACTAAGATCTAATTATCGACTATGCTCTATAAAACATAAGCATATTCTCATATACCCACCATGGATGAATTCAACAATAATACTGACACATAATTCAATTGCATAAAAATCCCAGTTAAGGGGATATGCACTATGATCATGAAGTTATTCTTAGCATGGAAAAGCAAAAAGTATTTAATTGCTCTTTTCCACAAAGTGAAATTTTCAGTTACTAAACAAGTCCACAAAGTGAAATTTCCAGTCAAGTCACTTAAAGGTCATGGCCAATGTTTTGAAAATTGACTTTGCCGTCGAGTCCTGTACAGCAACCAAACATGCCCAAAAACTCAAAAAAAATGCAAAATAAATTGTTAAAAATAATTTAAAATCAACAGAAACCAAAATAAGTAATAAAAATTTAAAAAATAAATAAATGATGCTTTAGAATCTCATCATCATTAGAGCCTTTTCCCAACTAATTGGGGTCAGCTACACAAATCCTAGTCTACCATTCTGCAAAGATGCTTTAGAATCTAAAGATTTTAAAATCAACTAGACTAAGACAGAATATATGAAATGCAAGTTTACTAATAATAGGAGCATAAACGAATAATCAGTTAAGATTGATGGCCAAGAAGTACCTAAAAGAGATTATTTTCGATACCTTAGATCGATAATCCATGAGAAAGGAGTGATTGAAGAAGTTGTTGCTCATAGAATCGGAGATAGTTCGACGAAATGGAGATGTGCTTCTTGAGTCTTATGTGATCACCTCATATTAATGAAACTGAAGGGGAAGTTCTATAAGACAACTGTAAGACCCGTCAAAAAACAATATATTCAGAGAACGAATATGGTTGAAATGAGGATGTAGAGATGGATAAGTAGAAAGACGAGGAATGATAGAATACGGATTGAATACATTCAAGATAACTTAAGGTAGCAGCCTCCAATAGATGATAAAATGAGGGAAAGGAGACCAAGGTGGTTTGGCCATGTGTAACGTCAACCTAGAACAACACCAGTTGGGAAGAGTGATTTAGTTCAAGTAGAAGGCTCTAAAAGGGAAAGAAAAAGGCCCCAAGGGATATGGATGGAAGTAGTAAAAAAGATACGATGACTTATGGTCAGACTAAAGGTAGGGCCCTAAATAGAGTAGAATGGCGGAACAGGATTCGAGTAGCTAAACTCAAATAGTTAGGATAATGCTTGGGCGATGATGATGATGATTATCGAAAATTTTGATTTATACCCTAAAGTATTTCAAAAAATGAAAAAAATGAAAAAAATGAAAAAAATGAAAAAATAAAATAAAATAAAATAAAATAAAATAGGGCAATTAATACGTAGAGTCCCCACATCGTCATAAAAACATAAAAATCATATAAAAATATATTTCTAACTCATATTATAGTATTTTAAATAGAATTTATGATTTCTAATTTTTGGTTTTCAACTAGGGAAGTTGTTCATAGGGACTCGCCTCAGCCATAGGCCGAGGACGAGTTACTCAACCGAGTCCGAGTGGACTTGGTAGAGTCCGTGAACACTGGTCAAGGCAACATCGCATAATGCAATTCATGGTTTAAAAGCTCGTCTTGAACTCAAAAATTTAGACTCAACTCGACTCACCCCATGGACAAGTTTCATGAATATAAAAATCCAATGTATCTGATTTTTTTCTTATATATAAGTTTCCTCATTGATTTGAAATATAAATGGTCCCTTCTGATGAGTTGACAATGTGGTGATAGGCTTAGGTGATGAGCTGGCTTTGACTCCCATTAAAGACACATACTTTGCCCATAAAGAAGTTGAACAACTTGCCAGTTTTCCAAGTTAATTATTCAACTTGGTCAATTAGCTTGGTTTTGGCAAGTTGGCCACTAAGAGTTGAACACTGATTACACAACATGCATGAATCAACTTGGCAAATGGGGTAGTCCAATCAATTATGACCGGTTTCAAAGGATCCATGCAGAGTGTACCCAAAAGAACATCCACCAAATACAAACTTTTAGAAAAAGTTACGTGGTATATTCTAGGTATAGGGTCACATGCAGGAGACAAGTGCGCAAAGAGCCGAGCGAAATCATCTAAGGTGACTCACTCAAGAGCGAAGGGCAGAGTACGGAGTAGACATACAAACTTTAAAGAGAGAAGTAATAAATAACTGGAATTAGAACCCATAGTTCTAATGAGCACGAGAGAACCCAATTTGTGCCAGCATATCCACAAAATCCTCTCTTCCCTGTGAGCAAAGACAAACCAGCCAAGTCATGAATCACGTTAACACAATAGCCACACTGCACAGAGTTAGGGTGGCAGCTGGCCAAGCCACCCCTAGCCCTAGCTGTAGCCATAGCCCGGCCCTAGTTACCATTGGGTCAGCCTAGGCTCGGCCTTGGCCGGCCCTAGCTTTATTAGGGCCGGGACGGGCCAAATAGAATCAAAGAAAAATAAAGAAAAAAGGGCCAGGTCTGGGCCAGCCCTCAAGGCCATTACTCCAACTCAGCCCTTCCCTACTCTCTAGGGTAGGGCCAACTGGGCCAGCCATGCTATCCAGAGAGATAATAAACAGAACCACAAAAAAATCCGAGCACGCATGATTAGGGTACCAATAAAATTTGCAATGCTTACATTCAATGTTCGAAAATTCGGCAGCCCAACCACCTCGGCGGCTGCCTTGGCGAAAAAATTTAAAAACACCTAGCCGTAGTCTAGGTGTGGTCATTATGCGCCCTGTCTCAGGGCACCTCCCGAGGCAATCAAGGCGCTGCCTAGGCACTATTGTCTAGGAGCTCACCTAGGCACCGCCTCATGATAACTTGCGAGTGGGCGGAAAAAAACCCTAGGTGAGGGTAAAAAATGCAATTTTCCCCTCTAAAAGGGGGGAAAATGATTTAGGCGGTATTTTAAACCCCAATAGAAAATCTGTGGCCTTAAGAGTGAGAAAAATCCCCCAAAAACCACTATTTTGTGATTTACCGAAAAATCGATAAATTTTTTATTTTTTTGATTTCTTCCCAAAACAAAGGCAATAGTTCGTGGGCAGATTTGGAGCTTCTATTAGTTGATTTTGAAAACTTTTGGCGACCCAATAGACGAGATTTGCACTGACATCGATTTGATTTTGACATTTTAAAGTATTATCATATTTGAAATAGGGTTTTGATTTTATTTTGCTACAACACATTATGTTATGAATCATGTGTTTTCTCTTTTACTTTTTTTCTTTTACGATATATTTATATGTTTGTAGTTAAAAGATTGATTTTTCTGGTGATTAATTGAATTTTTTCTCACTTGGGCGATGAAATTGGGCATATATCATATTCTTTTATGAATAGTTGATTCCTTTTTTGTACAATGTGCCTTATTTTGATATTCTTTTTTTTTTGTTTTAGTTTATTTGATAATAATTGATTATGTGATATTTTAATGGGTTAAGTCTTATGTGAAAGTCAAACTAAGATCTTAAAATGTTTTACATATTCAGTTATTCATTTAAGTCGTATTCGTTTCTAGTATGGATTTCTAGTTTCCTTCAATGACATTTGGGATTTCAAGCATTTTAATGTCTTACAAGTTACAATCTCTTTGAGACTTGTATGATTATCTCATCCGTAAATTGTTATGTGATCGTACTCATTGAAGTATTGTAATGTTGTACTATTATGTTTTCGTCTATTTCATGATCACGAGGAGTTTGGGGCTCTAACATTGCCCTAAATCTCCCTAAGGCTCTAAAATTGCCCTAAATTGCCCTAAATCTCCCTATAATTGTCTCATCCGTAAGTATGTTATGTTTGTACTCCCTTGTTTTTTATGTTTGGGATGGGGGGGGGGGGGTTTGATGTTGGTGAGGGCGCCTTGTCTCTGGGTGCCTGCCAAAGCGGCAAGGCACCCAAATCGCCTAGGCGCCCGAGTCCGTCTTTTTGAACATTGCTTACATTAATATTATGGCGAAATTACTTTTGGAGCTACAACAAAAACCCAACCTAATATGGCAGCCTTTTGGGGAAAAGATTCAAATCTCTTGGAAATGAGCATCTGTCAATATTTTTAATGGAACATAAGAAGGTGAACAATGTGATTGACGATCAGCAAATATCAATGCAACAAGTGACACACTTGGGTCATGTGACTTTATTAGTTCATTCCACTATCGTCAATATGCTTCTTCTATACTGCATGTATCCTATGTATTTAAAGTAAGTATTACATATCAAGCAAAAGATAATGATTATTTTTCAATTTCCATGCGTCCTTTATTTAAATTAACTATTACTTATGAAGAAAATGAAATAGTAAACAATTACAATATTAAGTAAAAAAAACAATTGTCCAAGAAAAAGGCTATAAAGAACCTTCCCAGGAGCTCCAATTCCTCTTTACTATGCACAACCTTTCAACAGCTTAATCTACCACATAGTGCCCTGTAAGTTTCTCGCTCAAGAGAGTTTTAACATATTCAAAAAAACAAAAAAATTCTCACTCAAGAGAGTTGAGACTACCCCTTAAACAAAATAGAGCACGAAAACATCAGCATTAGAGGTCTTCCCAAACAGACTCCTAATCTTTAAAGAGATATGAAGCCCCTAAGGCAAATTCTTAATGAAAACCCACAATCCCACTCTCACTAGTCTACAAGCTTCACACAACCCCAAATTCACAATCACCAGGCGCAAGATTTCTAGTTTCTAATTCCTGCAAATAAAATCTATGGATTGATGTTACAAATACAATGTTCACCATGTTGATTTCAACAGATCAATTGGCCTAAGTCCTCGTACCTGGAGGAAGAAAAAGAATGATTTATGTCATGTTCGTCAACAACATCATAGCCTTTTTCCAATTATCAGCTACAGGAATCCTAGTCAGTCATTCTCTATCAAGGGCCATACTTTCAGTGAGGCCATAATTCGCTATATATTTTCTCACTACTTTCAACCATGTCCTTTTGGGCCTACCCCTTGCTCTTTTTGAGCCTTCCACCCAACTCACACCTTCTAGCAAGTGTTGTACAGGGTTTCCGTTGCACATAGCTAACCCACCTAAGTCTACTTTCTCTCATCTTATCACGTATTGGAGCCAAACCTAAGTTTTTCCAAATGTATTCATTTCTTAGTTGTTTGAAGGCAAGAGAGGGTTCGGGAGCGGGATCGATTCAGGGAACGCCGAACCGCCTTAGGGTGGAATGTCCCTGGGATTAGGATCGACGTCCATGCATCGAACAAGTTAAGGAGATAGAACCTAGCATACCAGGGAACGAGAACCCAAGTCACTGGGATCAAGCTTTTGACTTGGGGGGATCTAAGCTCCACTATACATAAGAGGAGATCAATTAATAGTATATGATAAAATTAGGATCACACCAATGCCCGCTTGATCCATTATCATACACCTTCGCTTAGTGCCAATAGTACTCCAATTTACTACAATAATACAGTTTAATAATATCATAAATTATCTTACAATGATACCAAAACATAGTTTTTTAATACCATAATTCAAGTATAGTGCGATTCGATATGCACAATTTACATATTCTAAATAAATGAATCTATAATATCAAGGAGAGGAGCAGTAGTTCAATTATTAGTATAGCTCCTCTCCTTGGAGGGTTTCTACAAGCATGTAAACCGAGATCCCACTTTATAGAGAGCGAGATCCCTATTTCTCTAAACTCAACTCCCTCTAAGACTCCTTAGAGGAATCACGGGATCGAATTCATAAGGTGGGACCACAGTTGTTGGAAACGCTTAGGAACCCGAATCGTTTCAGGAACCAGAATCGCCGAATCGCCCCTGGCCAGAAGTTCCCTGTTGTAGGAATCAGTGTCTGTACAATAGGAATCGTTGGGAATGAGATTCCTAATTTTCAAGAATCGAGTATCAATCGGAATAAGTCTAAGTTTCATCCACATATGGAATCGAGATTCCGACCTCCTTGGAATCGAGATTCCCATCCCCTTGTGTTCAACACTCCAAGTGTTAAGTTTCACAAATACACGGAATCGAGTTTTCGATATATGCGAAATCGAGTTTCTGATATACACAGAATCGAGTTTCCAATATACGTGGTATCGAGTTTCCGTTGTACGTGGGATAGAGTTTCCATCATTTATGGAATCATGCTTCTAATATATTAGGAATCGAGTGTCAATCATCTAAGGAATCGTGTTTGTAACATATTTGGAATAAAGTTTCTAAACTATGTGGATAAGAGATCCATGCTGGTTTGAGATCGAGATTTACAATTGCGCAATTGAGTTTCCGGCATCACTTGATTCCAGTTTCTGACATATGTGGTACATAGATATGTTGTTGTGTAGAATCGTGGTTCCTACATATTTGGAATCAAGTTTCTGAAGTATTGAAGAGTGAGTTGGTCAGGTGTCACTGGGTAGAATTTTTAGACATTAGGAGTACTGCAATACCATTTAGGAAGTGTCAGGTGTCACTAGATTGTTTAGACTTTAGACATTAGAAGAGTTTGGGTTTTCTCAAGCTCAAGCTATCACAGTATGTGGTATAGGGCCCATAGGCATTGTCGCAGCTACATGGCGGCATGTTGTGCAGTGTGTGGTATAGGGCCTATAAGCATTATCGCAACTACAAGGCAGCATGTTGTACGTGAAGGAAAGATGGTGGCATCAACACGTGTTAGTGTATCATTTGAGAGATAACGCGGTTGGCAAAGTTAACACTGGAACACCAACGTACCCCTTCAAGAGAACGAACTATCAAATTTAAATATTTAAGAGTTTTAAAGTACTAAGCTACTAACTATTAAACATGACCGTGATGTCTTTTCAAATAACAAAGGCGGTTATAACTTAATAACTATCTGACCATTTGAAGTTTAGATTTTTCTGGAATATAATTTTTTGGAACTAAGTGGACGTGGCCATGTGGTCATTAAGAGTTATTTAGAGTTAAGAGTTAAAACTAAGTAATCCACATCTTTACCCTCATTAAAAAGTATACAACTCGGTTTGTTACTTTTGCACTGAGTTTTTTTAATAATAATTTTTTGTTTAGGAGAAGATGTGTTTTATGTGAATTCCTTTTTATTTATTTGTTTAAGAGAAGCAGTCCCTACTCCCTACTAGACCAAATCATCAAATTATCTCGACAGGGACACCTAATCACAAGTTACAAGCAATGATCGTATACGTGTTCTTTTTCACCTAATCAAAAGATGGAAGATGCAAATATTTTTTACTCATCTTTTTCATAACTATTG